AGAGACTGCACTTGTGACAGAACAACAAATATTTTATTTTGATCATATAAGTAATGTAAGTACAAAACAAACTTGAGGTAGGCCTAGACTTATTTTCAGAATAATTACATCTGAGACTTTGTTTCACTGTAAGATTATAACAGTGATGGCAATATAATTGTTTGTTGTTCAGCAGAACAGTGTCCAGTATGTTGGCTGTTATACTTTGTTGTGTTTGAAAATAAAAGTTGGGCTCATTTTAACATCATTACAAAAAGTGTTGTTAATTATTTTTAATCATATTCAGGTTACCACAAATTGTTTTTTTCATTTAGTTGAACTTGAAATGTTTGTCAGTAGGTAAACAATTAGTACTGTACAGTCAAAAATATCAAGTTATTCTTAATACTGCAGACTTGCAATGATGACTGTTGTCCTAACAGTCATCTTAAGTAAGCTTTACTTAGTTTTTTTGAGGCAACGAGTTTCCTTAATTTTTTTGAGTTCTGGGAACTAACAAGGTTGTACAGTGTACTCAAAATGAGTAAGTTGCCCTAACTTGGTCATCTTACGTAAACTTGATCCAATTTTTTTGAGTTCTGGGAACAAATGAGCTTGTACAAAGTACTCAAAATAAATAAGTTGTCCTAATTCAGTCATTTTTAGCTAAGCTTTACTCAATTTTTTGAGGCAATGAGTTTCCTCAATTTTTTTGAGTTCTGGGAACTAATTAGATTTTACAGTGTAAGGGTTGTCTGATTGTCGTCTGTTTCTCTCCATTATTGTAGGGTTTTAATATTACAATAGAAAGCACCTTGACACAACTGTTGTGATTGGACACTATATAAATATCTGTGCTCAGCACTGTTCACCTGCAGCTCAGGACCACAGACTCTCTGTCAAACCCCCCCCTCTTTTCTCTGTCAGCTGGCTTAGAAGAATGCCTGAGGCGATATCATGTGCTTCAGCCATCATTTGACTAAACTTTCCCACATAATCCTGGTAGGAGTCTCGACACTGCTCTCTTTCTATCACAAACAAACAAGTCTGTTGAACCCTGAGTGGCCTACCACAACAAAACCTGTGCAGAAAAGCTTCTGTCTTCAGAACAATACGCTTACAGGCACGTATGACCTCTGGGAGATTTCTTTTTCAGTAGCCTTTTTGTGGCTGGCTCCATCCTCGTTTATCCTCAGTTAACCCTAGGAATAAAATGTAGTATATTCCATGTCCACAAAGGCGATATTGCTGCGCCAGCTCAGCAAGCCATCTCAGGATCTGCTGTTTGCATTTGGAGTGTGAAGCCTGAACTGCTCCCTGACTCTCATTCCTGTCGCAGTCGCTTAGACGCTGTAGAAGCTGGCGATTGAAACGAGCCTTCATGCTTTATGTACTTGTTTTTAGCTTATTTTTGTTTCTTTTTTATATCATCTTTTTTTTGTTCTACAACTACAGCTTGTTAGGATTTGGGGAAGGCCTGAGGCCTCTTCTTCTGAAGAAAGAAAGGCCTTTACATACTGAGCATGAGACATTTGTACAAATGTTTCATGGGTTTTTTTGGACCAACTGCATAATTTTGCTGAATAAATCTGGAACATTCATTTTTATTTTGGAATAAGCTTGGTTTTTTTGCGTCTGCCAAATGCAGTGGTCTGACCAATCAGATCACTGCATTTGGCAGCAAGCGCGCTCGCAGGTCAAAACATGCACTGGTACTGAACATACTGTGACTGTTGTGATTTGGAGCTGTATAAATAAAATTTAATCGAATATGGAAAATAATATCATTTTACCTCAGACACACAGTTGCCAACTGCCAACAGGAGCTCAAACTGCTCCACTGGCATGTTGAAATATGTACGGCAGCTTCAACTCATGGAGCAAACCAGCTTCTGAGAATTGGATGAACCCAGAATCTCAGTTTCTTCCTTTTATTTAGAAACATCAGGACCAGCTTGTCATCACTTGATGTCCACTTCATTTTTTTCCACAGTTTGTTGAGGACGAGTTTTCCATAAAAATGCAACACTGCCAGTCTGCATCCAGAAAATTGGAATTTCGTTTTTTTTTTTTTTTTTTGCAATACACTCAGTATAAAATAGCCTTCACTCTTAGGTGGGCAGGTGGGTAGATTATCCATCCTGCATTACCTTCATTGGTGCTGTGTGAAACAGCTGTGGCAGCGATTTGCCAGATCACCACCTCCACTCTGGTAACAAATTGGCAAACCTCATTTGACTGATTTTGACAGTTCTGATCAGTAACCCTTGTCTCCTTCATGGTTACCTACATGGAGTTGCTGCCTCACATCCTGACTAGTTCAGCATCAGTATTCAGGTTTTATGATTCATTCCAGAAAAAAGAACTTACCTGAAATCACCTGCTACCCCTCCCACAGCTCAACATTTATCTTTGATGAGCAGTTGCATCCTTCCTCTCGCACTTGTTAACAACCTCTCTCCCTCCCTCCCTCCCTCCCTCCCTCTCAACTGAGTAATCACCTGTCCTTATTCAGTCAGATCCTGCTGTTAATCAGCCTTTCAAACACTTCAGCGGTTGTGTGAGTCAGCTTCTTAAGTCCAGTCTTTGTGAAACCATGACAGACCTCCTATAATCGAGTACAGCATGTACCACATTTATTATATTAAAAACATAACACGCTGTCACCTACTCTTATATAAACTTTGGTTTGTCATTGAAAACCCTGAGAACCTCTCCAGATGTGTGCTGATGTACTGACATGTGGATTTCAAACTGACTGCAGGGTGGTGCTCCAAAGTGTCAAAATGTTAATAAATCACAGTTTTACATGGATGGGAATTACAGGCTTGGGGACAAAATCTCATGTGTCATTATAGTGGTCATAAATGTATAATTCAGTGATGTATATTATACCCAAGTGTCTGTGAAATGCACTAAATCCCATCCTCTTGCAGCAGATGGAGGCCCCGTGAAGCCACGCCACTGCAGAAAGAATCTCATGATGAAATCGTACAGACAGGATTTCGTCCCAAAGGGCTCATGTGACTTTTTTCGAGCTAAACGAGTCTTTAATTTGTTTAATCGTGAAGTACGCTCTTGTGAGAGCACACAGCATGAAAACTGGATCGAGCACGTTTCCATTTTTTGTTTAAAAATATCATAATACAGCGTAACGAAGACGGAAACAATGACATGAGAAAACTATGATCCCAACTAAAATTGATTCCGGAAATCTGGCTCTGAAATCTCCCGATTGCTGGTAATTGTGGTAATTTATGAAGAACGTACCCGTGCAATAACTTCAAGACTTCAGATTAACAATAACACAGTGCAGTGATTATCTTGGAGAAGCAAAAATGTTTCCTGCACTTTAAACACCAGAATAGGGTTATCAAGCAAGACTTAACATGACAGTAAATATTTTTTTAAAAGGAGTTGCTCAAACCACAGTTTATGTAGCTAAAGTGGAAAATATTCCAACACCTCAGGCGACTGGAAAAGCCCCCAGTGTCCATAAAAATGCTGGCATTAAACTCAGTGGGGAAAGGAAAATGTTTGTTCTCTCGTGCCTGTGTGCGAACATAAACACTGATCTCCTGATCACAGAGCAGTAAATGTTGGACACTTTTCTGTCAGTAATGGAGATGTAAAACATTTCTGGTTCACACCCTGACATGGCTGTACAAATGTCAGTTTAATGCCTCGAGGTTTCCCTGTCATGATTTACTCCATGTCATTATCTGGACATAATTTCACAGATTTTGAACAATAAACTACAATTTTGACCACCTCCTTCATTTTTTCCCTGCTGCTGTAGAAGGACTACACGCTCAGTTTACAGACTGTGCCTCTGTGGATATTGCTAAACTCTCTGTGCCAGTGTTGGAGATCCTCGGTCAGGCGGGTCAAATGTACAGAAAAGGGTCCGGTCTTGCATCCTGGATAGAAAATGTGGAAATTGCACAGAAGTAGGGAACAGATGTTGAGCTTTTAACAGCATTTCTGTGCATTTTACAGTCATTTTACTGACAAAAACATCACTCACGGAAT